TGGTCACAATGGTTCCAGAAATCCACACCTCTGCTCTTGTATCCTCTGCATACAGCTTTCCTCACTGAGTGGAGTGAAGCTGACCCTAAGTACTTCTTGTCTGTCTGCAAACAGCAGAGGCACTGCTTGCTTTGAGTTCTGCTTCACCAACACAGAACATCCCTCCTCCTCAGTATCTCACCGTTCTCCTACTGTGCATTTCCCCATATACCCTGTCTTTGTTTCAAGGTTCACCCTGGCATCCAAGATCCTGCTTCTGCAGATGCTTCCACCTGAGAGTAGTTTAATTACCTTAAATGAGTGTATCCTGAAACACTTGTGCCAGCAGTCTGGAGTTAGTATAATGAGTATGACAGTGCACCTGGTTCAGTCACTAAATGAAATACATGCTGGCTGGAATGTTATTGCCCCTGAAATGGCATTTGTTAGCAGTATTCAGCTGACACAACACAACTCTGATCTTGGAAGGGATGGGACCTTTTCTGTATTAGATGAAAGTGCAAAGATAAAAATAGGTTTCTGTTTCTGAGCAAGGTTGTGTTTATTTACTGAATTCTGGTCCTACTGTCAACATTTTCTAGTATTGTGTAAGGAAAAAAGTGTGTAGAATGCTTTTATTTCTTATCCTTTAGGAGGAACCAATACAGGTCTCCAGAGCTATGAGCTTTTTTATTTTTTTGGAGCCACATATATATTTTTATATATTTTATACTTTTTATATGAAAAATGACAGCATTGATAACATTTAGTTTTCAGATATAAACAAAGAATTTCTCACATTCTCAAGAAAACTTAAATACGAGCATGAACTATATTTTTTAGTTGCCATTCTTATCATAAATGAGTTTAAGTGCCCTCTAAAGGCTGTAGTATTTTTTTTCAGTATAGAAATACTGAATTTCTTTTGTCCAGATACACTGTATCAGCCTCCACAGGTTCCTGAGGAAGACACTGTTTCTTCATGCTTCAATTTACAGACGCTGGCATCTCTCATCTAGTGTTCCTATTCCATGGACCTTTTTTAGATCTAGTAAGATCCCTTTATGGGATACTAGAAAAGCATAGGGATTTGGCTAACAAACTATGCTTTTATTTCTGTTTAATACTACTTTTCTGGGAAATCAGGTTATCCACGAGATAAGGGACAGATCCTGACTTGTAATGAAGATTGTAACAGGACTCAGCAGACACACTGTACTTAATTTCTGCCTCCTGGATGTGCAGTTGTAAGTGATACTGTACTAGTTATAATTAAGTTTGTACCAGTTAAGGAGGTGTTCATCAGTTTCAAAAAGCATGAATTAATTCAGTGCAGATCATAGAATCACCTAGGTTGGAAAAAACCTTCAAGATCATTGAGTCCAGCCATTAACCCCATTCTACCAAGTCCAGTACTAAACCACATTCCCACGCACCACATCTAGACAATTTTTAAACACATCCAGGGATGGTGACTCAATCACCTCCCTGGGCAGGCTGTTCCAATGCCTGACAACTCTTTCAATGAAAAAGTTCTTCCTAATGTCTAGTCTAAACCTCCCCTGGTGCAGCTTGAAGCCATTCCTTCTTGTTCTATCGCCAGTTACTTGGGAGAAGAGACCAGTGCCAACCTCTTTACAGCATCCTTTCAGATAGTTGCAGAGGGTGATGAGGTCTCCATCACCCTCCTTTCCTTTAGACTGAACAGCCTCAGTTCCCTCAGTTTTTCTTAAGGCCCTTCATCAGCTTTGTTGCCCTTCTTTGAACACCCTCCAACACCTTGGTGTCTTTCCTGTGTTGATGTGCCCAAAACTGGACATAATATTTGGGGTGTGGCCTTACCAGTGCTGAGTACAGGGGGACAATCACCTCACTGGTCCTACTGGTCACACTATTTCTAATACCAGTCAGGATGCCCTTGGCTTTCTTGGCCACCTGGGCACACTGCTGGCTCATGTTCAGCTGCTTGTCAATGAGAACCCCCAGGTCCCTTTCTGCTGGGCAGCTTTCCAGCCACTCTCCCTGAAGCCTGTAGCATTTCCTGGGGTTGGTGTGGCCCAAGTGCAGGACCCAGCACTTTATCTTGTTGAACTTCATACAATTGACCTCAGCCCATCAATCTAGTCTGTCCAAATCTCTCTGTAGAGCCTTCCTACCCTCAGGCAGATCAACACTGCCTCCCAACCTGGTGTCATTTGCAAACTTACTGAGGGTGCACTCTATCCCTTCATCAAGATCATTGATAAAGATGTTAAAAAGAAGTGGTCATAACACTAAGCCCTGGGGAACAGCACTTTTTACTGGTCACCAGCTGGATTTAACTCCATTCACCACCACTCTGGGCCTGGCCATCCAGCCAGTGTTTTACCCAGCAGAGCATGTGCCTGTCCAAGCCATGATGTGTTTATGAATTTTGGTGGCAGGATGGCGCCAGGGCTAAAGATTTAACTAGAGCGGGAGGTTGAGGCCTACCTGAAATGTAAGAAATCCAGTAAACCAGGGTATAAGCACTTACTCTTACAAGCATAAGCTTTAAATGTTCCTACACATACACAAACCTGACAGCAGGAAATAAAGGCTGTACCTGTGACAGGCAGAAGTTAACCTTTGATCCAACTAGTTAAACAGTACAGAAGCAGTGACACAGCAGTGTCCTTGAAGTTTTCTATCTCAACAAGAAAAGGCCATACAGAATTTAACACAGAAACCACAGTGGGAGACTCTAATGAATGATATGCCTGTTTGTTCTTGAAAGCAGAAAGAGTAAAGAGTTCCTGATTTCTGAAATGTTTAACAAAACTACTTCTTATTTAGAATGGCAGTATCTATGGCCTGTCTCCTCATGATTCAAGCAGCAAAGGTGAAGCTGACATGAATATGGGGTGCCTCAGAACACCTGCATAAGATGACCTTACATAGGCATATACTGTTCATGCCACAGCAGTGTTCTGTGTCAAGGTGAGATACTGGTGATCCTGCTGGCTTATGGATTCCATAAACTCATGAAGCTTCAGACAAACAGGTATTTTTGATCTCTGAACATTCATGCCTCTTGTTGAGGATTATAACTATTCCTATGTCACTCATTTCAGTTTGAGATTGGGTTTGCTTTTGTTCTTAGCTAGAGACTAACTTAAGTTCTAGGAAAAAAATGGTAGGCAAAGTGCAGTCTGGATTAGTAGTCATAGATTAAAAGACAATCAACTAATTGCAACTTTTCTTACTGGTATAGTGGACTGGACTCCCATCTTTTGCAGGTTATCCCTTTAGCTTACCTTGATATACTGATAACTAACACTGCCATGGAGCCTGCAGCATCAGTCAGTTCAAGGCACCAGTGATGATGCTCTGAAGAATCTTAGGGCATGACTGGTAATGCAAGCTTTCTTCACTGTCTCTTAAGTATAGCTATTTGTACTTAATATTCACTTAGAAAGGAGAATTATATGAAAAAAATAATGCAAATACTGAATATCTATCCAGTAAACACTGAAATATTTATATTTGAGATTAAAACCCAAGTAGCAAGGAGAGCAGAAAAGTTGTTTATTTTAACTGGAGAAGTGCATGAGTTTATTAGGACTAGAAGCAACTTTTTTTTTTTTTAATCCAGCTAAAATTGATATAAATAGGCTGTAATAAGCTACACTAGATACAACATAAATGGGAATTAAAGGCAGAATGTTACAGAGACAGAGAGCTGGAGATATGAAAATAGCATTCTTCAAATATATTAAATGCAAGAAGGCTACACATTATTTTCTTTGGTGATTCTTATACTTGATCTTGCATTGACTGAACTGAACGCAAACACTTTAACATAGAAACAGTATTTTACAGTTGAAGGCACGTCCTCAAATACACAGGTTCTGCACAAAAGCAGGACTGCATGTAAACTTGACTTATGACCAGGGAGTTCTAAAAAAGAACCAAATCCCTGGTACATATTTTGACTTTATCTACAGTGGCTAAATATCTCAGTGTTTTCTTTAAAGTGTGCAAAATGGTCCATGCAATACCACGTCAGCAATCAGATTAAGAGCAGCAGGGAAGTGCCACTTCATTGCATATGCCTAGTCATGGTTACTTTGTACAGGGCATGTACCAACATGTAATAAAAAATACTTGTCAAAAGTCACTGTTCTACTTTGAGTGGGAGGCAGAGTAAAAAAGGGCCATTTCAGATGGCTTACCAAGAGACTTGTTCAGAAGAGAGGTGAGCTTTGTGAAATATGTTCTTCAGGTTGATACCTCTGAAGGTGGGGGAAATAATCACAGTGGCTTCTGGAAACTTTGCCTGACTCAGGTGGATTTTGTAATGCTGTCAAGGGCTCTTAACAGTATACTGAGGCTGAGTTAAATTTAGATACACTGAAATATTTACTTATCTAAAAAACAAGACAACTTGCATGATCAAATAGATATTTTTTTTCTAAACAGAAATTACACTATGGTGATCAATACCATCAAGATATCAAGAGGATACTCAAATGGAAGACTCCCCTCAACCATACTGTGCTTTGCACTTTAGCACCTTCCTTCTCAGGAACTCAAAGCTCTTGGTATGCTAATACTAGTGAATTTAGCCTCACAACATGCAGTGAGGTAGGTAAGTTCACCCCCATTTCACAGAGGGGAAAACCAAGGCAGAATTCTGAAGTGACTTGCCCAAGGTCCTGCAACTTGTCAGTGGCAAAACCAGGAATGTATTTTCAGAAGTCCAGATCCCAGACCTCTGCCCGATTAAAGTCCCTCCCTACTACCACAAAGCAAGCAATACATGCAACGTTTTTTTTCCTTCCACTGCTGCCGTAGTCCTGGTGACACAGAGGAAGCGAATGATTTTTCCTGATTTAATTCCCACTTTCTTTGGCAAAAAGCACCCGATTCTGTAAAAGTGCTGTATTATGCTCTTTGCAAGAGGCGTTTCTTCTGAGGCACAATAGAAAAAAAAAAAAAAAGATGTTTTCCCCATGGCTGGGAGACTGTACAGGTCCAAACAAAGTAGTCTTATTTCTTGCAGAAGACCTGCTGCTTGGCATTCTTCACACGCTGCTCCTCCTTCAGGTTCTTCTGCCGTGCTTGCTTGCTGGAGATGAGCTCCACGTGTTCTGAGGGGAACCAGCCTCTCTCCCGGTCTGACAGTTTTACTCCTTCCATCCATCCTGCAGTGTGGTGAAAAGCACATGAAGCAAAATAGTCAAACCCTTTTTATTCTGCCCAAAAGCCCCCTCCAACATCCTAAGATCCAAGAAGAATAACCCCTTTCAGCTTCTAAATCACGTGTCTTAAATGAAGTCTTTTCACTCTCTCCATCCAACAATCTGGAAATGAGAGGCTCCTTTTGAAGCCTGATTGTGTTGTTCAAACTTTAACACTAGAGGATTTCCTACCTGTAATTTAAGATACCCATTTCTCATTCTGCTCACCATCATTGCTGTTCTGCATAACCATGATGATATCTGCTTTCTCCAGAGCCAGCTCATCATTTTCCCGAGCCTTGTAAGTCTTTATGCATTGAACCTGTGGTGCATCTGAAGGGGAGGAAAGATCATAATGGCATATTAGAAAGCAAGAGTGAACCTGTGTGTGTCAGCCCCAAGGGATGTAGGGGATAAGGGACTGCTCAAACACTAAAGAGCAGAAAACTGGAAGGGAAACTACTGGTCTTCTAGTTAATATGAGGAGTAAAAATAGATAAAATAACTTGCAGAATCTGGCACTGAGAGAAAGCCCACGAATGTCATCTTTATTTACAAAAAAGCAAGTATTCTGCCTTGGAGTAACTTCTGGGATGTTACAGTGACTCCAACTCCTTTGAGCCAGACTACCCCCATTGCTGTAGTAGCAAAGCAGTCTCACCAGGGCATTCCAGGAGGTCCAGCTCTCCTCGTGGAGGAGCCAAAGCAGAGATCCACCTCAGCTTCTCACTGCTGGAAAACATCACCAGATAGGTGTCAGGATTCAGCGTGAGGGACAGAAGTCTGATGACAGGAATGTGTGTGTACAGGTTTGCTCATAGAAAGGGTCAGAGAGGGGGTACTTAAGGGAAGTAGGGGAGTGGAGAAAGGAGACAGGAAAAGGCAAAATATCCCATTGTTGGGGGCTGATGGTATCACACAACTTAGTAGTATTGCATAAGCAGCTATGAAAGAGGAACAAGGTGGTTCATTGGGGTCTTGTTATGGCAAGAGGAGGTTTTTCAAGTCCTCTGCTGAGGATCTGCATTTGATGTTCAGCATTTGGATAGCTGAGGGACAACCATCAGGCTCCTAGGAGGTGTCTGGCTGTGGTAAAGGGACATCCTGAGGGTAACTTTGAGCTCTTACTGTGTCTCTGTACGAAACAAGAACTCCACTCTCTTTCCC